AAATATGAGGAGTGAAGTAATAAAAACGACATCCTGGCAGTTTGGTCCCCACTTGAAGTTTCATTAAATATTTAGAAATAAAAACAAATAAAAAAGAACAAAATTAAATTTAAAAAAATAAAATATAAATAAAGATAATAAGAAATTAATAAATAAAAATAGGTAAATAAAAATAAATAAAAAGATAAAAGTAAAAGAAAATAAAAATAAATAAATATAATTAAAAATAAATAAATATAAATAAAATTAATTATAATTAAAAAAATAAATAAAAACAAATAATAATAAATTAAAATAATTAAAACCATAAAAAAAAATAAAAACAAATAAAAATAAATATAAAAAATTAAAATAAAAAATTATTAAAAAAATAAACAAAATTAAATAAAAATGGGCAAATTATTAAAAATAAAAAATAAATAAAATTAAACAAAAATAAATGAAAAGATAAGTGTAAAAGAAAATAAATAAAAATAAATAAACAAAAATTAATAAAAATAAATACATATAAATAAAACTAAATAAAAATTAATATTTTTATTTATTTTTATTTATTTCTTTTTACTTTTTATATATATTTTTTATTTTTATTTATATTTATTTTTATTTGTTTGTATTTATTTTTATTTATTTTTTATTTTTATTTATATTCTTTTACATTTATCTTTTCATTTATTTTTATTTATTTTTGTTTAATTTTTTTTAAATATTTGTCATTTTATTTTTATTTTATTTTTATTCAGTTTTATTTATTAATTTTTTTTATTTCTATTTGTCTTTATTTATTTTTATTTAATTTCTATTTTTAATATTTTTATTTATTTTCTTTTACACTTATCTTTTCATTTATTTTTGTTTAATTTTTATTTATTTTCTTTTACATTATTTATCTTTTCATTTATTTTGTTTAATTTTATTTGTTTTTATTAATTTGTATTTTTAATAATTTACTTATTTTTATTTAATTTTTTTTTAAATAATAATTGTTATTTTATTATTTTTTTTTTCATTCAATTTTTTTTATTTATTTTTATTTACTTATTTTATTTTTATTTGTTTTTATTTATTTTTATTAATTTTTATTTACTTTCTTTTACATTTACCTTTTCATTTATTTTATTTATTTTTGTTTAATTTCTATTTTTAAAAAATTATCTATTTATTTAATTTTGGTAAGTATTTATTTTTATTTATTTTTATTTATTTTTATTTATTTTTATTTATTTTTATTTATTTTTATTTATTTTTATTTATTTTTATTTATTTTTATTTATTTTTATTTATTTTTATTTATTTTTATTTATTTTTATTTATTTTTATTTATTTTTATTTATTTTTATTTATTTTTATTTATTTTTATTTATTTTTATTTATTTTTATTTATTTTTATTTATTTTTATTTATTTTTATTTATTTTTATTTATTTTTATTTATTTTTATTTATTTTTATTTATTTTTATTTATTTTTATTTATTTTTATTTATTTTTATTTATTTTTATTTATTTTTATTTATTTTTATTTATTTTTATTTATTTTTATTTATTTTTATTTATTTTTATTTATTTTTATTTATTTTTATTTATTTTTATTTATTTTTATTTAGTTTTATTTATTTTTATTTATTTTTATTTATTTTTATTTATTTTTATTTATTTTTATTTATTTTTATTTATTTTTATTTATTTTTATTTATTTTTATTTATTTTTATTTATTTTTATTTATTTTTATTTATTTTTATTTATTTTTATTTATTTTTATTTATTTTTATTTATTTTTATTTATTTTTATTTATTTTTATTTATTTTTATTTATTTTTATTTATTTTTATTTATTTTTATTTATTTTTATTTATTTTTATTTATTTTTATTTATTTTTATTTATTTTTATTTATTTTTATTTATTTTTATTTATTTTTATTTATTTTTATTTATTTTTATTTATTTTTATTTATTTTTATTTATTTTTATTTATTTTTATTTATTTTTATTTATTTTTATTTATTTTTATTTATTTTTATTTATTTTTATTTATTTTTATTTATTTTTATTTATTTTTATTTATTTTTATTTATTTTTATTTATTTTTATTTATTTTTATTTATTTTTATTTATTTTTATTTATTTTTATTTATTTTTATTTATTTTTATTTATTTTTATTTATTTTTATTTATTTTTATTTATTTTTATTTATTTTTATTTATTTTTATTTATTTTTATTTATTTTTATTTATTTTTATTTATTTTTATTTATTTTTATTTATTTTTATTTATTTTTATTTATTTTTATTTATTTTTATTTATTTTTATTTATTTTTATTTATTTTTATTTATTTTTATTTATTTTTATTTATTTTTATTTATTTTTATTTATTTTTATTTATTTTTATTTATTTTTATTTATTTTTATTTATTTTTATTTATTTTTATTTATTTTTATTTATTTTTATTTATTTTTATTTATTTTTATTTATTTTTATTTATTTTTATTTATTTTTATTTATTTTTATTTATTTTTATTTATTTTTATTTATTTTTATTTATTTTTATTTATTTTTATTTATTTTTATTTATTTTTATTTATTTTTATTTATTTTTATTTATTTTTATTTATTTTTATTTATTTTTATTTATTTTTATTTATTTTTATTTATTTTTATTTATTTTTATTTATTTT